TGAAGAGTTACTGAGAAAAATTACCGTCTTGTTGACATATCCCATTAAGAATTTCGTCAAATCTTTGGTTAATTGTCAAATGTTGCGGAACAATTTGCTTTTGAAAATAGTTTGTTTATCAAAAAAATTCAAATGCAGATGTTCAGGTAACACTAGTATTTCATGATGTGTAAGGCCATCCTTCGAAAGCAAAACGGTCCTATGTAGTATCAAGAATTTTGCAGCAAGGAATTCTCATATTTGTAAACTGCACGAAAAAACGGAATTATTACAACCGTAGCAAAATCGTAGTAAATAAGAAGTAAATACCACATTTGATCGACTTTGTTCATATTTGCTCAGATGCAATCTTTTTTATTGCATCATATTTGCACGCAAAGCAAAGATGGTAAATACCGCATTTACTCATTGTTCGCATACCATAGCAAATGTAAAGAAAAGATGCAGTAAAGGTGAGTTAAATTGTTAAATTTGCTGCGCGAAAAGATGGATTTACATGTGTAGCAAATACTATCTTTAAACTGCTTTAATCGTATTTGCGCGTAAGTCAAACTTTGTGTTTGTACCAAAATTACGAGTGAAGCAAAGACGTTAACTATTGCTTTTACTCCATATTTACATGACAGCAAATACGAAACAAAAGAAATATTTCCTTCGCTTTGATGACCTTTACACAAAAAGTAAATGTTATGTTTGCACGCATTTACACAGCGTAGCAAAGGATCAAAAAAATCAACTTTATTGCTGCAGTAAATACTAGGTAAATGGATAAATTTCCTGCACGAAGGGACGGATTTGCACGGATGGCAAAGACCATACTTGCTTCGCTTTAGTCATGTTTGCTGCGAAGTCAAATGTCATGTTTGACCGTTGTTTGCACGGAAAGAATTGAAGGCAAAAAACTGCATTCGCTTATTCTTTACGCATCCTGTAAAAATACATGTAGGTGAACATTTGCCGAAACTTTGTCGTGGTAAAGATATACGTTTACGCCTTATCTGTCCCACGTACAAACGCAATCAAATATTTCATTTTTGAACAGTTTTGCTCATTAAGGCAGAAGTAAACGTTGACAAGGATTTGCTCAACGGGGTGAAATCAAAGAGAGAAATAAGACACACAAAGTGCATGTATGTCCAGCACTATGCAAATATTTACTCAATTATAAAATAAAAATTTGGTCCAAGTCACATTATCACAACAGCTTACACTGTAACACTTTGTAAAAATACTAAAGCATGTAAATAGTACCGAATCATAATCAAGATTGCCTACACCTACATATAATGCATTTGATTTGTTAACTGGTCTGTCTCTGATCACCTTGGAATTAATAAATATTCATAAATATCTTGAAATACAAGTCAAATATTAGCACCTGGGTAAATAGCTTCTTACCAAGAATGCCTGAAACACCTAACATTTTCGATTTGTTGACAAATCATCACCGTGGAGTAAATAAATATTGTAAATATCTTCAAATACTATCCAAATGTTGTCTCAGGGTAAACAGCTAACACTTTAAAACAGTTAGCATAACACCTTGCTAACAATGCCTAAAACACCCAATGCTTTTGATTAACTGGTCAAATAATTGTTATAAATATCTTCAAATACAAGTCAAGTATTGTCTCATGGTAAACAGCTACACAATTTGAAACAGTAAGCCTAACTAAAAATACCTAAAACATTAAATGCTTTCAATTTTTTAACTGATCCTCAAAAATTCTATACTTGATATAGTCAATCATAGCCTGCTTGATGCAATTCTCCCATTTTGCAATTCATGAGTCAGTTCAATGTAACTTTAAAAAATTAAGGACAGTAGAACAGCGTTACTTAGCTTGTAGATGAAGCTGTCACACAGCAAGATAAGACAGCATTCAATCAATTACACATACATGTAGCTTTTAGGAAAATATTAGAAGCTACTAAGTTGCTACCACGTAGAAAATGCAATCTTAATTTCACTGAGTTTTCATTTCAAAGCCTGAGTTCTCAAACAGTTTAAAGCGAAAGAGTATGTGATTCTTGATCTAAGTCTACAGTCGTGAACTGCATATGCTGATCCTTTTCTTTTGCAGCTAAGGATGTAGAAAGGTTCAGAACTTTCACTCTCTGGTTCTTTTTCTGTATAAAAATAAATTAAAAAAAATTATTCACAATTACACTAAATCTGAAAGTCACAAATAGACAAGGTTTAGGTTGAAATAAGCTTATTGGTTCTACCCAGTAGAGCTCTTACAAGTGCCAGGTCTTGTTTAAAGCATTATTAAAGTGTTTGACAGTAGAAAAACTTAAAACAGCTTGAAGTTTGAAAATTATTTACCGTATTCAGACGGCTTCGGGCTCTCTGTTGCTATAGGACATCCTGAGCTGCATTTCTTGAATTGTTTACTTGTTGTCATCACTTTGTTCGAAAATGGACACGCATAGCAGCTAAAAAAGAGTAATGCATTCTTGTTGAAACATGGTAAAGAATACTTTGCTTTAAATTTTTTAACGATTTTAACACTTATTGTTAGGGTTAGGTTTTTTATTTAAATTTTATTTTTTCTTTTCAGAGGGCCACAAATTTGTTAGTATTCTCAATTACCTTACCCTCTTGAAATAAAGCCTCGTAATTACTTACTGAACATTTTGATATAACACTCTTGTATCTAAAAACTGCATATGAGTGCAATAAACTGTTTAAGACTAAAATCAGAAGAGGAAGGACTCCAGGTGCTGTTTATTATCCTCTTAACTGATCCAGTGGGTACATATGGACAATTATTCTGTGGTTTTAATGTTTATTTGATTTAAAAATATTTAAACAAGCTTATCCATCTCAGGAACACACATTTCCTTGCCAACAAAAATCAAAATATGGATCGCATGAAGAAAACTAACTTTGTTAGATACGTTTCCCAGTTCTCGTCACCCGTTTCGCAGTCGATATTTATAATTCGTGTGAAGATTTTCGTGTTCATCATTCCTAAGTGTTAAAGGATATGGATATGCGCTTTCCCCGGATGTTTCCACCTTGAAATACCCCCATTCTCAGTTTTTTACCCTTTAAATACACCCTAACATCAGAATGGATATTTCCTCTTTATGCTCTACACATTTATTAAACTTCGTGTGATTTGGGGCGGGGACCCTCCCCTTGGTCACCCTCTTTGGAGTTAAGTTGTCTAAGGGAAAGTGGTACATGGTGAAGTATGCAAAAAAAATATTTAGTGTTTGGAAAGGTTCATCCAGTCCTTGAATATTTGAATTCTTCATGGGGGAAGTATCTTTTTTGTGTTCGTTTTCTATTTCTAATTTTCGTACAAATGTAAAATAAATGACTTGCGAATCTCTTTCTGCTCAGGTTCCAAACCAGCATTGCACTGGGAAGGGACAGCTGTTATTAATCAGTGGCGGATCCAGGGAAGGGACGCAGGGGGCCCGGGGTCCACCTTATTCTGGGTAAAAAAGAAACTTAGAGGGAAGAGAAGGTAGCGGGTAATCACACACAAACAAAAACAGACCCCAACCCCCCTCCCCCCTTTAGCTCAAGGTTTGAATCTGCTACTGTTAATAGCGAGTTTGAAGATTACTGATTTCAACAGTAACATGTTCCCGTTTGCTCATTAATAACTTGGAAAAATTAGAGACTCGTGTGAAGTCCATTCAAAGTTTGACACTGTAATCCTTATAAATGATTGATTGTTGTATATGTACAATGTGTATCTATGCTTGTATGTGCTATTATACACGTATAAACAGTAGCCTCTGCCTGGGCTTAAATGAACAGATATTTTTTTTCCTTTTTGGACGAAGCGTGAGGCACAGTTAGTAGAGTGACCTGTTCAGATCAAATGCACCCAATGAAACATATTTTAAGATATATTATTACGGTTACATCTCTTAAAAACCTTACCTTGGATCAATTTTCGGCAAATTTATGGACAGTTTTTCATCCATCTGTTGATAATTTGCCATTTCCTTCCGGTTTATTCTACTCTTTTTGATGTATCAAGTTTTCCTCCACGGGAAAATATCTGTTTTTTTTTATCCCCTTGACTTGTACGTATTATATTTTAGTAACATCTTTTGAATTAAAGCATGTCGTACTTTTGCCACCAGCTGGCTATCCTCATAAATTACATAATTAGCCACCTCTCCACAACCGCTACAGTAATCAAGATTGTCCCCAAGAGGAGTGGTAATGAAAGGTTTCCTTTATTGCTGAGCCTAATGCTTGAATCAGCGTGACACTGTAAGGAAATATTAGATACTAAGAGCTCCGAGCTAAGGGTTGAAAAGTTTCGATTAGTCTCAGCGAGCAACTCAATTTCAAAAATAATTAGCGGGTACCAGCCGCTGTTTGGGAAATGAGCCCACGCTCCTATCCAGATCCCAGTAACTGACGCAAATCGAACCTGCATGTGGTTTCAGGGATTGCAATTGGCGGTAGGAGAGAATACTTGGCTGTTTGAAAGAGTGGCTTCGGTCCCTTCACTAGGGTGCCAGGTAAAATGTGGATATCTTTTAATAGATTTGATAACCTATTCAGCTGACCTTGATTTTAATCGAACCAACTCCACTTATCTCAGCGAATAAGACGTAACTCGTGGGTTACACCCTTGTAATGTAATGTTCTGTTGGAAATAAATGTGCAAGAAAAGATTATGAAGACATGGTGGGAGTGTGGTGTGGAAGGGATTCGACCACCATTAGACAGAATAATGTTAGCTTTGTTCAAGCCAGTTTTGTTTTTTTCCAGGATTCCTTTTACAATAATATTTCAATGCAAACCAGACGAGTGATACTCGGGGGACACCGGCGGCATTTTCACTAAATTTTTCGGGGTGTAAACTGCAGTAAATATATAGAAAGAAGTAAGAAGAATCGATATGAAGATCTTGGGAGTAAAGGTGTTAATGAAGTGGACCACAACTGGATTATCTACGAAGTAAATAGAAAGGAACTCCTTTGTTACCGCATTTCACAATTTAATAGAATGTCTGCTCTAGTTTTTTCGACTAGTACATTACTTCTAAAGTGGCAAGTGGTATAACGATTTAAAAATCAATGCAAGCTATGAATTAAAATACTTCAAAAAAGTTTTGCTGCCCTGATGCATGTAAAATAGGGATATGTACAACTTCTAGCAAGTTTTAAAAAATTCAAAGGTAAAATATCTTTAGATTATCGGTAACGCCAAAATTAAAACTAGTATTTCGCTTATGCTTGGAGCTGTTCGGAAAGTCATAAAATTGTTATTCGTGTCTGTGAAAATGACTCCATACATAATTCACATGACCATAAAGTTTCACATCGATATTTTATAAAAAGGTGATGAATAATCCTTAAGGGGACAACGTAAAATTAGTTAAAATGTTTTGTTTGAATATAATGAAAGTCCAAAAAGAGTTTTGAACTGTACATACATGCTATTAATCGATATGGTTTCAATTAATGCTTCCAGCCGTAGCTTAACATTTAATTTGTGGTTTCCCTCTGTTAGTTTAATCTGTCATCGGTCGATGTCACACGCCAGGGATCTCGTCTTGTCTTGTCTGCACACAAATCCCTCTGTAATGACCTAAAGGAAAAATGAAAGAACTACGAGATAGAGAGGCATATTCAAATTTGAGTTTTTTTTCTTTTTTTAGTTCCTGTAAGGGACTCTCTACATGGGGATGGGAACCCCAAGTGGATGACGTAAGCCGCCTAGCCTTGGTCGAAAAATAGCCCTCGTTTACATACAATCTTACAACCCCGGAATCCCGGTGTGAGAAATTAATGACGTGCTTGCTCATGTAATATGAAGACGACCCTGGGCGGGTCACCCCACCTTGAGGCATGGCAAATTGTCCGACAGACCGGGCAACCCGCCCAGGCAGGTTACCCCCACTCCATCATATATACGTGATCAAGATAAAATAAGAGATTATATGGACAGGTGGGTCCCACTTTCCAAGGGTCCCCGACCTTCCTGTAAACAGGCCCCAAGAAATAAACCTGAGAGCTGTGCTTTACTCAGTAAAGTGACTCAACTCAAAACACATTTCCTTCCCTTTTTTCTTTCTTTGTTTTATGCACCTGCTATCTCGGCTGTTCGATCAAAAATGAAGTGTAAAAAGATAAAACTGAATTTGACCTCAGAGTAACTGAAAGGATTCCTAAATCCTAATTCAAGAGTTGTCAAAGTTTGGATAAAGTTATGATTAACGTCTCCCTTTTCATTGACTTAACGAAATCAAAAGTGCACTCACGTTGAGAACATCTACATTTCGGTTAGTTCCAGTTTCACGTCATCTCCAATGAGGACAAAAGGCGCCCAGTAGTACGCTTTTCTAAACTTCTCAGTTTCTCTCATGCACTTCGTGGCTTGATTGATAGCTTCACTGGCACTCCTTCCTTCAGCGAGGGCTCTGCAGAAATGTTTCATGAACATCAGAGTACCATCGTCGGTAATGGCCCACAGGCACACCAGAACAGATCGAGCACCGGCACCCAAGAACGCTCGTGCAATGCCAACCACACCTTCAGCCACGACCTCTCCGCAGGCGCTGTGACTACAGCTAAGCACAACCAGCCTCGCTCGCAGCCCAGCTTGTAAGACATCCTCCATTCTCAGTAAATAGTCTTCCTCTTTAGCTTGACGAGTTGTCCTCTCGATGTTTGGTGCCAAGATAACCTCTCCTGTTTCTTTTTTACTATGTGCTGCAATGTGAACTAGGGCAACTGAAGACATTCGCCTTAATACCTCATGCTTTGTCGCCTCCTCTCCAATGAGAGGAGCAATGCCAGTGATTTCTCCAACCATCTTCACCTCTTTCCTTGTACCCGGAAGCTGACTAAGCAATTTCTCCTGATAAATAACTTGTTCGTAACTCGGATCACCCACGAGCAGTGCACCGGTTTTAACATGAAATTCTGTCGGGCAGTCAGTTATTGATTTCAAAATGGTTAAGGATGGAAGCACTCGAATCCTGAAAGATTCGCACAGATACCTTGAACTCGAATCCACCAATGCTGCATAAGGCACCAAGCAAAGTGGACCTTCAGGAACAAATACAATCTCATCTCCATCCACCAAATCAGCGATTGGAGTGACTATGATATCATGAAGCTTCCTCAGGGCATTTGTCATCGAGTTTCGCAGAGAACCATCGCTAGCTCCTTTTCCATCTCGGCCCACTACAGGTAAACTTATTTCACATTGAGAAGCAGGCCTTGTAACAACTTGTGAGAGAGCAGCCTTATTCAGAGAGGTGATGTAGAATTCTAATTCATCCTGGTAAACAAAGTTGTTCACATGTTTCATTCTCGATCCGACAACTTTCCCATTCCGAATGACCCACGAAGCAATGTAAGGTCCGGTTATTGCTAGAAAAACTGCATCTGATGAAATGTTTTTTAGTGAAAGGCAATCAGAGCGCTTTCCAAAATTCGACCGAGGATAGGCTTGTCCAAAGTTATACTTTACATCTACCAAATCTCCTAGAGCTTGTGCACGTCCCTCCTCGGCAGCAAGAAGAGCTTTGACGTCCTCACCCTGTCTCAAAAGAAGGCGCCAAGTACCCTTGTATGCTGTTTGGTAAACATTTCGGAACGAAACCTTCCATGCATCGTGAGTCAGAAGACTAGCCCGAAGCTCATTAAAAACCTTCCCACTCGAAACAAAATAGTCGAGGGCGCTTTCGAGACATCCCTGCCGTTCAGAACTGCAAGCAAGATTACAAAGAGCTATGGCAATCCCAAGCATTTCTCCCCCTTCTTTGGCAATTTCCAGGTGACGCTTATGGTACTCGATGGCTGTTTTGAACTGTCCTAGACCACGATAAGCATTGCCAAGATTTCCATAACTTTTTCCTTCTCCAGCCTTGTCTCCTACTTCTTTGCCAATTTCAACATGACGTTTATGGTACTCGATAGCTGTTTTGAACTGTCCTAGATCATGATAAGCATTGCCAAGGTTTCCATAACTGTTTCCTTCTCCAGCCTTGTCTCCCACCTCTTTGGAAATCTCTAGATAACGTTTGTGGTACTCGATGGCTGTTTTGAACTGTCCTAGACCATGATAAGCATTTCCCAGATTTCCAAAACTGTTTCCTTCTCCAGCCTTGTCTCCCGCCTCTTTGGCAATTTCCAGATGATGCTTATGGTACTCGATGGCTGTTTCGAACTGTCCTAGACTATGATAAGGATTGCCAATATTGCAGCAACTCCTTTCTTCTCCGGCCTTTTCTTTCGCTGTTTTGGTTGTACGTTCTACCTCCTGATTCGAATCTCCCTAGGGGTTTGGAAATGTGTGCAAACTTTTATTATACCTTTATTTCACCCTTGGTTTTAAGTCCGAATGAAGGTCTTGCATTAAAGTTTAGAGACCTTTTTTCTCCTTGTTAGACCTCCATAATTGGTCGATGAGATACACTGGCTCTTATCAATTCCTCGTTCGATGTGAATTATCAACGGAGATGTCATATTTGTGAAAATGATTAGGCACTGAAAAATGAGGTGATAGAGAGGCAGGCTTATGTTCTAGCCATTGGAATATGCCTATTTATAATCTTTAGAACTTAAGTATATTTTAGAAGACTTCGGCCTTAAGGCTAACCAATTTTTGATGTTCTGTCTGGGAGCAATGTAATGTTGAGCAGTCTGAGGATAAGTTTTGTCTATGGAAGCCACTTTGGAAAACGGAAATTATTTCAGTGTGGACGTCTGAGAAAACAGAAAAAAATTTTTTTTACTAAAAATTAATGTGACTTCGGAGGGATCAAGAATTTCTAGTTGTTAGCCAGCTCCTGAATTGTTCCTCTCTGTCCCGTCATTTTGCCTCACATGGGCCAATACTCTTCGAGTGACGCGGCAATCAACCTTAGCTTATAACAGAATTATACCACCACGGAATATTGATTCTCAAGTACTTCGCCTTTTATTTCAAATACTAGAAGTTTTAAATCAAGTGGAAAACACATACCGGCGATTTAAATCGATAGAGATAGTCGATGTTTGAAATACCTTCCGACTAAAATTAACTGTTGTAGTTATTTTAACCATCATAATTTCATATTGATCAGTGATAAATGCCCAGCAAGCTTTTCCAGATTAGAAAAAAGATCAAAAAGCAGTTTTAAACTTTGATTTTGTTCAAAATGGTGACAACTTTGCCGGCAGAAGCAGAACCGACGAGATTAACTCTATCGTGCTTTAGGTGTGACTCAAATCTCCCCTTGGACCAGAAAGCTTTATGACTTTGAGTTTACAATCCGAGAGTTATCGCAATCATCATCAAATAGTTAGTTCAACCTTGGTTAAAAAACACATTAACTATTAACAGTAATGTGAGCTGGTCCAAGGTACTCCTCAAGAGAGCAGATTTGGGTACCAACTTGCTTCTGTCATATAAATTGAATTCATAGGAATCTGACATTTAGAATTCAAAACTTATGAACGAGTTATTGAAACATCATTTAAAATTATTATCGCTGATTTTTATTCTTAATAGTTTGTCCAAGGCCCTCGGTATACCTCGAAGTGGCAGAGAAAAATAATACGTGGTTCCTGAAGCATACTTCATCACCACTAATATTTTGCCCCTAATAAACGAGGGGTCATTCGCCTCCAATACTTGAAAAATATGGGCTCCTGCGTAACGATACAGCGATATAATTAGTTGGTTTACTTTACCGGTCCCTGGATTGAGAGCTGTGAACTCGAGATGCTCGTTTCAGCTTCTCTACAGTTTTATTTAAAGAAACATTCATGAAGGGATTGTCAAGTTTACCTTTTCTTGCTGTGGCTTTATCTCTCCGGATGCGATTGTCTCACCAACACACTTGTTTAGTAGATGACGCAATCTTTTGCTATTATCGTCTATCTTCATAGCGTTAAGTCAAATGAACTGCTGAGAGGAAGGATCGAAGGCCCAAGGATTGTTTCGTGCAGTGTTTTGGAGGATGTCAATCATAGACTGCAAGACTTCTTTATGTTCTAGTTGCGAAGTGCCTTTTTGGCTTTTGAGAACTCGATGAAACACTTAGCAGAAATTTACTCTATGGGAGCGTTTTAAATAAGCTTAACAAGGCTGAATAACTATATATATATGTATATATATATACATACATATATATATATATATC